TGAGATACTGAAGCCATTTAGTACAAACATAGTCAAATATTTCAAATGAACCAAACACTACTATGCCTAATCTCTGAACAAGTGCCTGGAAGTGCCATGGAAACTGATATAGTTTGTCTCTCTATCTCTGTTTCTTTCTTACATTCATACATTACTAAATAGTCTAAGTTCAAAAAAGCCCTGTAGTTAAAACGTAGCTTATAATGCATGCAAAGCATAATTGGTAAGTTAAATTGACTAAGATATGAATTTGGAATATAAAGGTCAAAAAATCTGGAATTAACTTAGTTGGAAAATTGATGCAAATATGAAGAAGTCAGTGTTTCGGAGAAAATTTGCAGCTCCCTCAGAAAAGGGCTGTCACGGTGGGCTGGTCAGTTACAAATTACTGTTTACTAAAGGCAAACAGTGAGGTCACTTCTTGCCACTCCACCTAGCTCTTCATGATGTTTCTTAGCACCCTGGCTTACCTCTTTTTCCCAGATAGGTGGGCACATTTTGAACAGAGAATTGACTGCAGGCTCTTATTACTACTTTGTTTTCCAGGAATTCCAATATGGCTTCTGCAATGGCCCAGAAACAGCATTGGAAATGTTTTATTTATTTATTTCAAATGGCTACCAAATAAGAAAAACTCAAGTGCTTTGCATACCAAATTCCTGTTTTTTAAAAAAAAAATATTTTTTTTTTAAAAAAGGGAGATATGGCAAGGAACTTGATGGTTGCACAGCCCAAATCAGATCATATTCATGTGCCTGTTGGATATGGCATATATGCTCTCAATATTTCCTTCCACTGAACAAAATTACATATAGAAATGAACAGAAAGAAAATATGCATGTCCATGAACTATTTTTAGTTAGGAAAAAGACATCTCAGAGAAATAAATAATGGAATAACTGGTTCCTCCTTTTTTCATTAGTTGGCAGTGCCCCGTTCTGATTGACCTGTGGTTAAAACTTTAATTGGTCAAAAGCCAATTTGCATATTTCTGTAAATATGGGTCTGTTTGCCTTATAGTGGATTCCACATTTTCTGTTCTGCATTACAGTCTAATTAGAACAATACATTTGGAACACACCAGGGCAACATAGACGGCTGTCTGGAGGACAATGGGAATTAAAATTCAGTGTATCTGGAAGTCCTGAGTGAGGGAGGGCTGGACCTGGAGTATCAGTGTATGAAAAGGTTTACTCGGTCCTTTGAAGTCTGCAAAGAATAAGGAAGATGACCTTGTTGGAAATATGCAAGAGCCATTAATTAGCCAAAAGGAACTGAAACATTTTTTAAAGTCCTTATATAAACAAAATAATATTTAGAAACAGCTCAGAAAAACCACCCTGATTCACTGGGGCACTGAAGGGACGAATGTCAAGTGTGTTTGTGTGAAGATATAGCAAAGCCAGACTTGCAGGATTCTGTTGATGTAGCTGAGGTAGGCCTTCTAGTCTTCTATGGCACTGAATTCCTGGATTCTGGCCTACTTAGTGCAGTTGACAGAATCCCCACATAACCTGATGGGGCACCTAAGCTAAACATTTGTAGCAGCAGTATATATTTTGCTATATAATTTGAATTACCTAAAGAGAAGTAAGAATACATGAAGAGGTCACTCTTTTCATTTCTAACAATGTTCTCATATTCAGAATTATGAAAGATGCCAGAAAATCATAACATGTCAAGAAAATGGTGCTCTAAGACATTTTCAGAAAATTTAAATTATTGGTCCAGCATTTGTAGGAGAGCTAGTAGAATTATGGAACATATTTAGAAATTGGATGCATGGGTTGGTTTTTGTTTTTTTGTTTTTTTAGCTTTTAGCGATGGTACAATTCGAGGCCCTAGAACCACTTGTATTATACCTCCATAACAACCTGAGTGAGTCCACAAAATTCTTTAAAATACTGCTACCAAATGCTAATTTTTAAAGGAGAAAATGTTAAATAAACAGAGACAGAGATTTTTTTAATTAAATTAAGTTTTGCCCTGACCCCACCCAGTTCTTCGATCTCTTTCCATATGCACATTGTTCATCTAGGTGTCTTCCAGGATGGCTGCTTGGGGTTTTACCTTTTCCTCCTTCGAAGCATATCCCTACTTTAAAAATAACATTGGTGCATTATATAATGTCTTTTGTCTTGCAAATTAAATTTGTCCAGCAAAGAGAAATGTACCTATGAAAGTTAAATTTGTCTATTTCAGGGGTCTTCAAACTTCGTCCTTTTATGATTTGTGGATTTCAACTCCCAGAATTCCTCAGCCAGGCACGCTGAGTATATTCAAAGGAAGAAGTCTCTACATAGCACTAATTCTGCACACATAGAGAGACATTAGCATGATTGTGTAACAATTTATAGCTTGTTTTTCCAAATGTTCCGCTTGTTCCTGATGTAGTGGTTAGTATACGGATGCCTCAGCCATTTCAGGGAATTTCTCCAGCTCCCAGTCAAAGCTAAAAAACTGGCAGAAAACAGGTCCAGTCCAGTAACAATTCTATTACACAAGAGTATGCCCATTTTAAAATTCCAATTGTATAAGTATCAAAAACCAGAAGTTCACGTCTTAAGTCACTGTGTTCTCATTTGAGCAACAATCGTTTTAAACTAAAATTTGGCAGAGGATTATCGCGTAATGTAGACCAAATGCACTTGGAATGCTGAAAAACAGCATTAAAAAAACCAAGAGATTTCACTTGGAAAACACTTGAACTAGACAACCACAGCTCCCATTTTACACAAAACCTTTTAGAATTATGAATACACTTCAAGGAAAGTCCATTGCTCAAGCCCAAGACTTGGAAGGAAAACACAATAATTTTAACTTAAATGGAAGATCTACATAAGATTGAAACTCAGGGGAACAGATCAAAGAGATGAGTTATTATTATTATTTTTCCAAACAATAAAAGAAGGAATACACTTTTTGAAAGTTACTTTGAAAATATAGAAATCAAATTATAGATGACTATAATAGCATCTCCCAATTTGATGCCACAGATACTCTGAATTATCACTTCAGAATTAGCAGTTCACATGACTTTTGACTTTTTTTTACTCTTAACCTGCCCCTCCCCACCACTTACCCCATGTATATTTTGAGCTAAAGAAAATCCCTTCATATTTTACCACACTATGGTCTGTTGTCCAATCTTCTATTACCAACTTTTTCATAATCCTTTCCAAAATATCTTGTTATATTTTTACAGTATTTCATTTAACTTTCTAGAAATCCTGTCCTGCCTTAAATATAAACACATACTAAACTTGGAATGACTAATATATTTCGATATATCTGATATATTTGGAAAACTAGAAAACCTGGAGGTTGGAAGATTAGATGATAACTTACACCTATGTCTTTTGATTGAAACATACATTAGGATAGAAACAAGAGAATGAAAAAAGTAAAGACTTTTTTCAAAGAAGAACAAATTTATTTTCTTTCCCTGGAGATAGACAGCTGTAACCTGGGATTTATCTTAAAGCAAAGTCCTGGAAGTTGAGACAAGAATTGTGAAAAGATTGCAAGACTTTGGGGAAAGGACTGTGGAAGAAATGACAAAGATTACAATATAAGGGTTGAAGCAGGGGTCTTCAAACTTGGCCCTTTTATGACTTGTGGACTTCAACTCCCAGAATTTCTCAGCCAGGCACACTGGCTGAGGAATTCTGGGAGTTGAAGTCCACAAGTCACAAAAGGGCCAAGTCTGAAGATCCCTGGTTGAAGAATGATCCCATATATGAGTGTAAAAACATGGATTTCATTATGAAATTTCATCCATGGAATCATTTAGATGTTCAGGTTTCATTCAGAAATGTATACGAATGCAGTTCATGGTAGGTCTAAATGGGCCACAATTAATAGACCAGTGCAGCTTAGAGGAACATAATTTTATCATGATGCAACAGATGAAAAATATAGGATCCATATTTATTAATAAAGCAGGCAAGAAGAGGATTTCTCATATGGAACTGTTTGGCTCTGAGCCAGACCACTAGTCCAAATCACTTGAGTTGTTGGCACTAAAGATCTGGGCCAGACTCCAAGGCCTTCAGAACAATTAACCAAATAGTAGAATGGTGTAAATAGACTAAGCAGTAGCAGGTTGGAGCTAACATATCTTGATTTGGGATCAAAAATTGAAAGGTTTCTTCTCTTATGACAGTTTGCCCAGATTCCAGACCTTTCCCTCTTAACTTTCCCTGAGTGCTACAAAGTTCATCCAAAATAAGAAAAAAAAAGTCTTTCCTGTGGAGCCTCATATCAAGTAGTGTGCTTTGCCATTTCGAATGTATCAGACTCCATCTATGTCTGCTTTTAAGAAGGCCCTAAAGCCCCATTAATTTATCCAAGGAATCCTGTTAACAAGACTTATTATATTGGCAAGGACACCAATTGGAACTGAGGTTTCTTTTTCTGTGGTGGAACATATTCTTTTAATGTTGGCTTTCTAACCACAGGCATCCAGTGAAACCTAGATTTTCTTACAATTAGAAGTAGTGAACTACAATATTAATTACAACATTCTTCTAAATCCTGAGATACTAGCATCAGATTAGCATGAGCATTGGGACGCAATGGCTCAGTAGTTAATGATACTGAGCAGGTTCGAGATCCGAGGCCAGTGTGATGGGGTGAGCTCCTATTACTTGTCCCAGCTCCTGCCCACTTAGCAGTTCAAAAGCATGTAAATGCAAGTAGATAAATAGGTACCACTTTAGTGGGAATGTAAAGCATTCGATGCACCTCAGCATATGGTTATGCTGGCCACATGAGCATGGAAATATCTTCAAACAATGCTTGTTCCCTCAGCTAAGAAACAGAGTTGAGCACCGTCTCCTAGAATTTGGACATGACTGGAAAGGGGAAAACCTTTATCTTTATTTTCTAAACTCTGAAATATTACATGCACATTCACCCTAAAACAAATTTCTTGCAAAAATAGGAATAATTATGAAGGAACAAGAAAAGGAGAAGGGTCTTTGGGAAAAGGAACATACCTGTCCGGTAGACAAAATTTCCATCAGTTTCGGAGGATGATGGCGACACCAGTTCTTCTTCGAACTCATTAGAGCTGAATGATCCAGAATGATTCCTTTGTCTTGCTTTTTCCATCAGGTCTGCATCTGTGGTCATCACATGTCTCAGCGAGTCATTCAGGTAGCGATTTAATAAGCTGTTTTTATATTTAGGAGGTGCCACATAATCCTCATTGGCACTTCCTTCTGGTTTTACTCCAGATTTTATGACAGAACTTTCTGATTTAATCACAGTATGATGAACCTGTGTGTTGTATTCTCCTTCATTTTGGGGAGGGTTTTCAACATCTGCAAAGAGAAGAACAATCAAGCAGAAACTTTTCTTATGTATCTTTATACTCCTAAAGAAGCATTCAGTGGAAAATTGAGTTCAGATGATATTATCATGATGTCTTTTCTAAAATCCATTTACATAGACTTCTCTAACCTGCCCCATCCTCAATTCCCAGTTCCCAGCCATATGGGTGAAATGTGCTTCCCATCGGTTACTCATATACTATATATATATGAGATTCACCCGTTTAAAGCAGTGAAACAAAATCTCCCCCAAAAGAAAAAACTTATTACATGGTTTATCTACTACATTTTTGGCAGTTCCCCAAAGAAACAAGACAGGGTTCACTTCATACATAATTTATCTTTGCAATAGTGGGACTGCTGCAATTGCTATAGAAGACAAATATTTTTATGTAAATATACAGTGAACTCCCTCTTGTCTCTTAATACATTATAACTGGGCTTTAAGAAAGATTAGTTCAAATAATTCAGAAAGAATTGACATTTTCCTGCCAAACTTAACTTTGGGAAGAATTCTTGTAGGAGAGGGCATGAAGTAGGCATAAGATTTATTCCTTTTCTACTAAACCATCATTGCATACCGTCAAAGAATATAGTCCCTCTGGATATAAATAGGCTTTTAATCTTTGAAGTGACTTTTAGAGACATTCATTCTTCTTCAGTGTCCAGGAAGATGCTGCTTATTGGACATAGTTGAGGAGCACAGATCAAGGCAAAAACAGCATGCAAGTCTATTGACCTTGAGAAATAATAATTATTTTCAATTTTATAGACTTTTTATACAGACAACTTGAAAGTATCAAAAACAAACCTTCAGAACATGAATCATCACTGCTTACGCTAAGCCGTTCAGCATTTCCTTGAACATACTTATTGTATAGTTTTATTCGTAAAGCCCAGCTGAGATCCGGTTGGCGGACAGTATTTTTAAGACGCCGCCTTGCATTGGCAAACCAATTTGATACCTAAATAAAAGACAAATGCATCAAATTTGTCTTTGACCCAGTACATTGAGAACTGAATTTCTCCTCTACAAATGTGATGAAAGAAGTATAAAAGGCAGAGAAATGATTCATAGTCCTATTTTAACAGTTATATGGGCACTGGAAAAACATGATATCGAGTTCTATGTCTATCGATTATTAAATAAAAGGTCAATCTGTGCTCCTGAAGCTCTTGCTGAATCCTAGTTAATACAGCTCATATTGAAAAATATGTGAATTGGCTCAAAAATATCTAGAGAGCCACCTGCTACCTACTTCTGTAAAATGACCAATAATAGAATCTTACATTGCAGAATCCCAGATACAAATAGGATCTGGGCGGCTATACAACTAGGCTACCAAATGCAAGAGATTGCTGCAATTGTTCAGGCTTTCAGAGTGCTAGGTCAGTTTTTCTCATCCCTGTAGCCCAGACCAGCTTCCCATTTCTGCTGATTCCTTATGCTAGAGAGTACCATGGGATCAGCATAGGAACATGTATTATTCTTTAACACAAACTTAGATGAGCCAATGTTTAGAACGTATATACTTTTGGAATTCTTTGTTGAGTAGTCTGCATTAATGATTTATCATTTATTTGTTGGGGGGGTGGAGAGAGAGAAAGATTTGTTGGCTTAATAGCTGCATAAGCCTCCACTGCCACGTGAAGAAGTAGACTTTTATCCACATAGCTCTTGATATAGGCAATATAAAACTAGTGTGATTTATATGCATGCACCTCTATTTCATGGAAAAAGCCAAAATGAAGCCTTGTGCACTCAATATTTCCATGTCAATAGCAAGCATTATTCACACGAATATGAACAGCTCCCTGTTTAAAGTTCAGCTATCCAGCGTGAAATAGGTTCATCTCAAGAAAATGTATCTGCATCCTCCAAACACTTGAATTTTGGGTGTTGTCTTCTCATGAAAACAATTATGAAATCATCATTTTTGCCAATTTAGGGACTAAAGGAAATAAGCTCACAATTCATACTGCCTTAAAAAGGAGAGAAGAGATTGTTACTCCAAGCACTGTAGCTATCACAATATTTCAATAAATAAACATTTTAAAAGCTGTATTTGTTGCAACGGTTGGTCAAGGAGCAACTTTTAGTATTCCATTTCACTAAAGCAATACAGTTGGTTTAGAGTTGATAAATATTGCATCAGTCATTGGTTTCTCAGAACCGTCATTACTATCTCTGTGTGGCTTCTACATTTCTTAAAATGCTACATTTCTGTTCCTATGAATTGGCCCCATTCCAGAAGCATGTAAAGCCTGAAATAAAACCATTGCATACTGTTCCAAACCCACAGTCACCACCAGATTGTTAACTAGAGCATCCATCATAGCTTCTAAAGGTGTCAGCAGAAGCACTTGTGTAGGCTTTGCAGTTTTCCTAATTGTCCTGGACCCAAACACTGAACAATGGTTTGAAGTCCTGGACTGCAAGTACATAGATATATTCTCTCTCTCTCTCTTCTCTCTCTCTCTCTCTCTCTCTCTCTCTCTTCTCTCTCTCTCTCTCTCTCTCTCTCTCTCTCTTCCTCCCTCCCTCCCTCCCTCTGTCTCTCCCCCCCTCACTTCCTCCCTTATCAAATAATTTTCTGCATTTCATGAATGTCTAAATGAAGCTCTTTCATGAATCCTGTATATGCTACCTCTAATTCCATCTTGGAACAAAAAGCAGGCTCTAAAATGCCATAACAGAACAAACAAAAAAATAGAAGGATGCATAGTCCTAGCTGGACTAGGAAAAGTGTAGTTATTCAGACTTGGAACGATGCTAGCTACAGTGGGCCACAATTCCCATAATTTCTAAGCAACAGGACCAATGCACTGTGCTCTCACAAAACTGGAGTATCTGAAGCTGGAGAAAGTTTGGATTAAACTAATTCAATTTTTTTATATGCCCTTCATTCTGTTTTGCTTCTTTTTCTTATTTACTATTATGATAAATTGTTTCTATTCAGCAAATGTATTTTTCAGGTGGTTTTAGGGCAGGTCTCCCATTTTCTAACCCATTAAATAAACATAATATTTAAAATATAAATCATAAAGTACGTTCCTATCTTTATCTCCTTTGAAGGGAAAAGATTACTGGGATATTGCAGATCGTGTTGCACAAGGATAAACATCTAAAAAAGAGCAATTTCTCCAAACTGTTTTCTCCAGATGTGTGGGTCAATAATAGGATGAAGTTAGCTGTAAGTTTTGAGAGTTGAAGTTCAAGACATCTGAAGACTGGAGATGATTGAAAGGGAGAAGATGGCTCACCTAAGTGATTCTCTCTTCCTGAGTAAATTATATCCTATGCAGTATATGCTTTTGCATAGCTGAATATTGCCAGAGCCTCAGAAGCTCAAAAGTAAGCCATTAGTCATACTGTGGCAAATCATATTCAACAATAAAGCCATTCATATTTCCCCTTCTGGAAAGAATGTTCAGCTTTTTTTTTTAATTCCTAGGAATGGCTAAAACCAAATTTAAAATAAAATAAATCCACCCCTACGGGAATAGTGCAAATGAAAACATGACATACAGCATTCATTGCAAATTAGCAGGACAAATTGCTAGCCTCCAAATTGGGGGCTAATTGATGAGATAAATATAGGCTGTGGCTTTTAGTCGAATATGGCTTCCTGCTCCAGTTCTGTAGTTTTGGAGTATAATGTTTCTGGCTCTAAAGCAAATAGGAGAAAAGGGAGTCTACAAGTCATACTACAGGCTGTTCCATTAGTTTTGTTTAAGTTATATGAATTAGGCACCATATTCAGCTGACTTCAGCTATACATATTTTTTCCAAATATTCTTTTAGAAACCTTCTTCCTTTCCTTAAGCCAAAATTATCTAATAACAAGGACAATTTGCTTGTTTGCTAGATTTATATCCTGCCAGGAACTCAGAGAGGCAAATGGCACCATTTTTTTTCACATATACCAGACAAATCTCCTGAGGGACAGGATTGGCTGAAGGAATGGCCCAAAGTCTCTCAGTGAACTTCCAGGGCTGAGTTAAAGCTGGATCTCCAGGTCCTAGCTTACTACTTTTATCATCTTAAATTAGGGTTTCCCAACCTTGGCAATTTTCAGGTATATGGACTTCAACTCCCAGAATTACACAGCCAACACAGCTATTGCTGAAAATTCTAAGAGTTGAAATTGACTCATCTTTAAAATGCCAAGGTTGGGAAATAGATTTTTGGGAAAACAGTAGATTTTGTTTTCCACCAGAAACTCAATATTAATTTTTCCAACTAGCTTATAGTGCTTGTGGTTACTTACTTACTTACTTACTTACTTACTTACTTACTTACTTACTTACTTACTTAATTATTTGTAGTGAATAAAATTGAGAGGGTGTACAAAACCTTTGCTTTCTCTCTCTACAATGTCTCCACTGGGTCTTCATCAGGATTTCTATCCAACTAAATGTCCCAAACTAGTGGATGGTCAATGGCTTCTGGTTATACTTAACATGTTTGTGTATGATTAGGGGATTAAAGGAAGACCATCTGTGGCTAGAACATTGCTGGCTGAAGAAAAAAGCTAATAAGAAGTCTTAGGGTTCCCTGGCTGGATTCAGAAAACTTATAATTTGCTTTACAATTTAGCACTCCTTTGGTTGCATAATCCCCCAACCCTGGATTAAGAGATTATAAATACAATCTTCTTCTGATAGAAGAAACAGCAAGTAATAAACAATCTGAAAGAGAAGCAACAACAGGCAGTGTTAATAGGAAAATATTTACATGGTAGGTTTTTTGAATGATTTTGAATTAAGACTGCAGAACTGACATGCTTAAAATGGCTTTCCACTCTTCTATTAAATATTCAAATACATATAATACACACAATTAATGCAAACTGAAGATGGAGGGGCCAGAGTAACAAGCCGATGGACCTCCAGGGAAGCTAAACTAAGTCTAAGCCATAAAGCTAAGAGGCTATGAAAGATAACTTTAGGAATGTCCTTAGGGGGCTATACATTCACCACAGATATAAAGAGTTCCTTTATACACAAGGCAAATTATTTCAAATATATTTTTTTCTTCACACGCATATTTATGGAGTCTTAATGCAATCTTACTTATATTTACCCAGCAACAAGTTCCACTAAGTTCCGTGGATATTAGGGCAAGGCAGATCAGCTTCAGATTGAAGTTTGAATGGCTAAAATTAATAACAATAATCAACTGTGTGGGTTATTAGAGGATTTCTTTTTCCAATTTGGCACCAATCCCATCGTAAGAAAGATTTGACTGAAACTGAAATAAAATCATAACTCTAATGCTATATCAACTTAACCAAATAAAACTAACATAGCAACGTGTTACAGAATTTGACAGAATGATGCAAAGGAAGAGGTCAACCTCATTATATGGAATGCATGACAAGGAAATACAGATCATGAGAACACTTATTTTGGTCAACTCCAGAAGTGTCCTGGCACTTAACAATCCTAGATTAAAGTCAGTCATCCAACACTATTTGATCATCTGGAATGCACAGCTTTAAGGAATGAGAACTATTTTTCAAGTACATATTAAAACATGACCTAGTTCACAAGATAAAATAATGTCAGTTTGAGTTGGTATGGTTGCAGGGAAATTATTCTACATTCAGGTGTGACTTGAAATTATACTCTGTCTTTATTATTCTTGAAGATTGGCTTCTTATAATCAATAATCAGATCTCAACCACAATTCATTCTCTCCTTTTCTTTCCCTTCATGCAGATATGACAGGATTGCTGGACCAAGCATGGAAGGAACATCTGGAATATTTTATTATAGTTCTTTTGTTTGTTTGTTTGTTTGTTTTTGGACCACGTGCTTCTGTCAAGTAAGATAGATCTTCAATAAAATTAAGCATTTTTCTTCTTAACCGACATGCCATTTAACTTCTGTGGAACATATTGCCATGAAAAGTTAAGAAGGCAAAAGGACTACATTTAATAAAAATCCTTCAAAAAAGAGGAAAAAAAATAATGGGAGTGTCCAACTTATTCCTATACAGTTACAGTAGTTAAATGACAAGGTTAATAGTTGGACTAGAATGAAAACATATCTCCATGCCTGCCTAAGTTTTATTATACATCATTTCACAAATGACTTGATACAACAAAATTCCCAAGGAGCCATGGTGGCACAGTGGTTAGAAAGCAGGCTAATTCTGCCCACAGCCAGGAGTTCGATCTTAATGGACTCAAACTTGACTCAGCCTTCCATCCTTCAGAGGTTGGTAAAATGATGATTGTTGAAGACAATAACTAACATTGTAAACCAGTGAGAGAGTGCTATAAAGCACTTTGGAACTGTATATAAGTCTAAGTGCTATTGCTATTGGTAAGAAATCACAATAAAGCCAAAACACTGAAATCAAACACTTGATTTATTCCCCAACCTGATTTCCTCCACCCTGTTCAAGTGATCTTCATCCAACCAAACACATTTATGGATGCTACAGTTCCACATATATAGACAGTCATGTTGACGTAATAGATGTCATCTGGAAGCCTAAATCAAGCTATCCATATTTTCCAGAGAAATATTTAATTTACTTATACAATAATGATTTCTTGCCATAGTTTAATTCCCAACTTCCTTCCAGTACCAATAGTTTTAAGGCAGAGATAGATAGATACTTATTTCTGGAACAGATCAAAACAATAAAATCAGATTAATATTCAGATAAAAGCTTGTGGCTGCTGCTTTTTTGGAATGAAATAACTGGTATTTAGTTTCCATTTAATTGAAGACAAAAATAAATCTACATGTACTTGAAAGAGCAGCTGAAGTACACTCCAGCTGCACTAAGAACTTCAGTTGTTTGTTCAATACCACTGGAAGACACAAAATTGGGGGGAAATTGTTATAGGACAGATGTGCATCTTTCCAGATTGAGAACCGTATTTGGCCTTTGAATGGCATCCTATACTCTCAAATGTATTAAAATTAAACGTGCTTAATATTACTCTCCAATCATTACAGCCATGCAAAATTTGTCACTCTAGGAACAGAATGTTCAGGAGAGCTCCCAAATATTCTTCTGAAACATGCCAAAACTTTTCCTGTCTTAGGGAAGTTTGGCAGTTTTTGAAAGTAAATCCTTCATGTCTGGTTTGAAAAATTTATTTCCAGAAACCAACAAACCTCCGGAATGGGATAATCTGAAGGGAGATGGAGCATTCTGGAGTGCCACAAGTAAATAAATTTTACTCTTCTCTATTATTTCTCTTCCTTCTATTACATTAAAAAAGTTTGTAACTTCTGGTGATCCAGGCTGCAAATGGTCTTTACACCATGCACATTTTATTTAGATGTAAACTATACTTGCTGGTACATCAGATGGCAACCAATCAAACTTTTTAAAGCAGAGTCTGCAGAGTATTTTCTTCTTACCTGGACCAAAGTCATCTGGGAGCCAAGAGCCAGCAAGATCTTCTCTGTCTTAGTTGGGTAGGGATTATCCCGGTGCTTATACAACCACTGCTTCAGTGGTCGTGCCATATCCTGCAGGGCCTGGCGCTTGTGCCTCACCTTCCCACTGTTCTGCCGGGAGCTGTGAATGAGGTAAGACAGACGGGAGAGAAAAGGTATACTGAGTTCTTAGCCTCCTAAGTCTCAGGAGCAAAGGACAGAAAGCTATGCATTCAAACAACTACTCAGGGGATGGAGAAGCAGGGCATCAATGAGTCATGAAAGGGAATTGTTCATCATGACTGTATAAATCAGGTTACTACTCCAATCCAGGGTTGAGAATGAAACTGATGAAATGTTTCACAAAAATGAACTCTCGGCTTCCACTTGTGGAAGTCTGATCTATAGCTTCTCTCATTCTCCCAAGTCAGAATAGCAGATATAGACCATAATCAATGTGGAAACAACATTACCCATGGTTTGTTAAATATACAGATCTCGGGAGTAGCAGAAAAAATTAAGCCATACATCGTAACGGCAGGCTCAAGCGATACGCTACGCCAGAATTGAACAGGCTACATTATGACTCCCCATGTGTAGATCCCCAATAGAGAGCCTATTAATGCTAACCCAACCAGAGACCAACCTCTTTGTGCCCCCCATAACACAAATAATTTTATTGTTTTTTAACTACAAGTAGTTCTCAACTTATAATCATTCGTTTAGTGACCATTCAAAGCTATTATGTCACTTAAAAAGTGATTAAAATTCAGGCACTTGACAACTGGCAAGCATCTACAATGGTCGGTAGTGTCCCTGGGGTCCTGTGAGCACCGTTTGTGGACCTTTCCAGAAAGCGTCTAACAAAGTCAATGGGGAAAGCTGGATTTGTGTTAAGGGCTACAGGATTCATTTAACAATTGCAATGACTTGCTTAATAGGCATGGCACAAAGGATTGTAAAGTTGGGCACAACTCACTTTGCAACTGCCAAGCAATGGAAATTCTGGTGCCAGCTGTGATCGTAAGTTGAGGACTACCAATACTACAGCATTATTTTTGTGAATACGAGCTTCCCTTCTCCCCTCCCTCCAAGTTTTCTCCTGCTAGGGACTGTATAGGAATAAAGCATAGAGTCAGAATATGGATCCAGTCACCCCAAATTTCAGCTCAGTTGGCTTTGTCTCTTCTGGCTTCTTAGGTCTGGACTGTCTTATTGCTATTAAGCAACTGTATTTTCACAGAAATGTGATTACAATAATTCCAACTTCAGCTGGATTATCAGTACCATCATAGAAGTCAAAATGATAAATGGGTATGACTCTGAATATACTCTGGAGCCTTTTCTAACATATTCCCGTCGTTGTACATGATCAATGGTAATTACAAGCAACATAAAGGAGAACCCTGCTGATTAAACTAAAGGTCAATTGATTCCAAATATTTCCCAGAAGGATCAGCCTCAGTCTCTGAGACATATGGGGCAACTGAGGCATGAAGGCCACAGTTCTTTAAACAAAGATCTAAAGGCATTCAGAGCAGCCCACAAATGCAGACATATAAGGGAGCGTAGATTTACAACTATGCATAATCATTTATTCAGGTTTTATGGAAGAATACACAGAGAGGAGCTTGCATGTTTACCTCTCTAACTGTATAAAAAAAATCATCCCAACTATATGTAACAGTTCTGATACTTCTCATATTCATAAAATAACGCTGGAGAAAGCAAATATATAAGCATGTGAACCAAGGGCAAAACTCATCCCCAAGGGATGGAGGACAAAAGAGTTGTCAAACTGGAGGCTTTGATAATTTAAATACCATCATTCAGTTCTGGCCTGCATACTATCTCAACTTCTTATGAAGATAAAAGATCTTTCTCAAGTAAGGAAGCTGTTAAAACATTGTCTGACCTTGGATTTGAGAAGAAAAGAAATTGCAGACAAAACAGTGTTTGCTAACAGAAAACATTTGGTACTTGACACAAGTCTTTAGCTTTTTTCTCCATGTCTCACTGGACACAGATATATCATGCAATGAGGCCAAAGCAAGCAAGTTCAGCGGTCTTCTCCAATGTAGAACTCCTCAGCCATGCTAGCAAAAATATCAGGCATTATTATCCCATTATAGCTACGGCAGAGGTCCCCAACATTTTGGGCACCAGGGTCCAGTTCCGTGGAGAGAGGTTTTTCCATGGACCGGAGGGTGCATGGTTTTGTGTGCTGCCTGCATTCCATGGATGGGGTTTTGCTTGTTTGTGCAGCCCAGTTGCTGGCATGCTATGGCCCAGTACTGGTTCACGGGCCGGGGGTTGGGGATCCCTGATCTATGGCATTGGGAAGTAAAGGGCTGGCTTAATCAACAAACTCTCCTGCACTTTTCTTTCAATTCTATCTTTAAACAAGGGATCTACTACCCTCAGCATCTAGCAATATGGCTGCTATTAGGATGCAAAAGAGCCCCCCCCCATGTAGGCAGGAAGAGAGGAGCACAAACCCCTTCCCAAAGAATTGCCCATGGATTAGTATCAGTCCAACAGACCACACTAAGAACAGTAAGTGTACGCTACTTCCAAACGAATTCAATCAATGGGAGGTGACTGGGCTTGCTAATAATTGGCTCCACAATGGGGACATGTAGGATAATGCTTTACAATCTCAGCAGTTCAAAGATGTGTGAACTTCAGTTCCCAGAATTCCCTAGAGAGCATGCTGTAGAATTCTGAGAGTCAAAGACCATATGTCTTAAAGTTACTGAGGTTCCTTAAGCAATTGAGCATTTTCATATATATTTGAAACTAGGTAAATCTGTCTCAGTGGGAGACCACATGTAAATTTCCAAACACACCATTTTTGTAAGTTCCATCATGGATCATGTGCTGCTTAAAGCAAATTGCACCTAAATTAATCAGTACTTAACTAAGAAAGGCAAGGTAAAAATCTACTAACTAAAATGAATGCTTTCTCGGAAGGAGCTTCTCTAAAGAAACCTAGTTTATTTTCAGTCATTATTCTACTGCTCCTTTAGAGTGCAAAATCTGTGCTGGAAGCCAGAAGCAGGAATAAGAGATGCAAAACCATCCTGGACAGAGAAAAATATGTATTAATTTAACTAGAGTTAAATTTAATTAAATGCAATCCATATCACTCTTCTCTACTTAATATGCTCTCCTGTCCTTTGCATTACAGTTAATATTTAGTATTAATACTTGGAGAGAACCTAAGGGTGCACCCAAGGTTTTAGTGGTGTCCTGGGTCTTCATTTTCACAGCTTCATTATACAATATGCTTGCTGAACACACTGTGAGCTAAGCTGAGGACAGTCAATTGCTCTATTACAGTAGGCAACGGTAGGGGGTGTCCTCCCAAGATCAACAATGTCTTCATATGAAAAACTTCCCTAGGTTGGAGCAGGAGATAAAGACTTAAATTCCATTCCTTTCGCCAGGTGCTTCTACTTGTATTTTAAAATAAGACAACTGACTCAGATCAAAAACCCCAAAGCTAGCTGGTAAATATATAATCAAAAGGGGCATGACTCTCATACTAATCCAGGACTTGGGTGCCAGTTTTCCTGTGAGCCCCAAACATGAACCAGGAAGCTGAGATCAACTTGCAGGACAGGAGGATGTGATGGGAAGCAAACTATGTAATCTTGCTATCTGGTAACACAACAAAAACATTTTGTATATTGTTTGTCCTGGGGCAAGCCTTCCCTCAAGAATGCTCTCACAATTCCAAATAGGGCAGCCAGTTCCCCAAAGTGAGGAACTTAGTTTAACTGATAGTGGGACTAATGTGACCATGACCCATCTTGTTTTGAGATCAAGCAATTTACATATTTGGCTATTCAAGATATTTGAACAATAACTTCCTTCCCACTTCCAACGCTCTGAGTCTTACATCTGTTTATGACTAATTATTAAGGGGAGCTCATGTCAGTAATTTCTGCACATGACCAATCTTAAATGAAATTAAATTTGACCTTTGCAGACAACTCGGTACTGATAAGCAATTAATATTCTAGATACACATAATTATTTATCCAATATTATGGATAGATAATATTGCACTCTGAATTTTTCTCTAGGCAAAGGCAAATATTTGCCTGATGGGATGCTTCTGCATTCCTATCCCAACAGAAGTTCATCCAATGGAAGACATTAACAACTTTGTCTCATCTTTCAGGCATGTATTGTTTTTTTAGGCATGTCCTGTTTAATTAATGTAAAGCCTAACCATATGCAGTCCCCCTTCATGGAAAGAAGCTTTACTGAATAAAGTTCCATGGAATTTACACAGAGGCAAGTTTACATAAGTTTGTATCCAAAATCAAGACACGAAGGGGAATCATTAGAGAAACACATTATAACCAGAGGCAGGGTTGATCTCCCCTTAAAACTGGCCCAGGAATTTTGGTATCCCCAGTGAGAAGACGGGCACGCAACTACACAAATTAAGCAACGGGGCTTGGTCTTTCCACAAATCTCAAGAAATATCAAGAACCTGCTTGAGAGCAGGCCTTTTATTGATTTCTGTTCATCCAGAGATTTCTTCTGTCAGTTTCCTATTCCACTGCTCTTTGTCCTTCCACACTATTGCCAATTTCTGGTTAAGGTTCTGGAGTTCGATCTTGTAATTCTATTGAGGCTGCCCTCAAACAATGCTTATTCCCTCCCCACTCCATCCATGAATGCCCCCTTTATTTTTATTTTTTATTTCTTTTAGGTCTTTTTTACTTGTTACTATTATTATTGAAATATAATTTAGTACGAATCAGTTGGTAGTAGCATCTCAGCATTTCAATGCAGCACAACCATTCTTTTGGTAACCTGAAATATTTTGTAAGTATAAACTTGATGAGATTTTTAACTTTTCATTTCAGAGAAAAAAGAATTTGTTCTCCCTTTCCATTTTTGATATCCCTTAAATTTCTGATGAAGATACTTCCCACAAATGAGCATTGTGATCTATGTGCATTATTATTAGAATTGTCTCATTTTGTTTATGAAAGCATCTATAATGATCTTATAATAAATGTCCATGTACAAGCCATCAACCGACCCATCCATCCATTTCATGCCTATTTCTGAACAAAAGGGCAAATGTTGAGTCCTTTAGATTCATAATGTAGACAGTAGATAGATCAGGGTTTACATGTTAACACAGTAGCAGATAAATAGCAATATTGTTGCAGTCAGTTGCAAAATAATTGTATAAAAGCATTCCTAAAAGCCAACCAAGTCTGGATAAATTTTCAACAAATAAAATCATATTATCTGTCACTTGAAAAGCAATAATAAACAGCAGTAAATTTGCTTTGAATGGTTAAAATATCCACAACGAAAGGAATTCTATATCAATTAATTGACTCCATATTAATTATTGTCTCTAGCTGCCTCTCAAATGTAATAGATATGGCTAGTTTCCTTTCTTTTGAAATTATTATTATTATTTATTACTACTATTATTACTATTATTTGCAGCAACATCAGTTTGCTCAGATGTAAATCCCACTGAAGTCTCTCTCTCTTAGGTAAATGCTCAGCCACTTCAATTTTCAGTTATTGTTCTGGCACAACTTTTTCCTGTTCTCACAGTATTTAGGTAGTTTCTGATTTCCAGCAAAACACTAGTTCATGTCAGTTGTATACAGTTTCACTGCCAAGCCATCGGTGTGATTTTCATCCTCAAAGCATGCCTGTATCTTTTTAAAGTGCTTGGAAATAATTCAGTGGAACATAATTGTAACTAGACTCTAGAATGCTGAGCTGAGCTTAACAAGAAGTTTGGAAGTGAAGGTGTTGCCAAAATGGGCATAAATGATGGGTTGATTGGGTCATTCACACAAGGCCCTTGTTAGGAAAGGCTAAGAAGAGGAGGGGGACAGCGACCCCAGAAGGTGTTCAACCGGTATTCCCAGCCTCTCACTTCTCCTGCCAGACAGCCCCCCTCTCCTCCCACCTGCCCCCCAAACCTCCCACCCAGCCTCTAGCAGCCTGCGGGCGCCTACCCCGTCCTTTTATGGCGAATGCTGAGGTTGTCTTTATTGGGAGGACGGTCGGGCAGGAGGACCTCCGGGTGAGGGGAGACCTCCAGGACCGGCCCGTAAGGCCGGCTGCTGTTTCTGTCGTGCTCCTTGGCACTTTCTTCGAAGAGCACTTGGCCACTGAGCTTGTTGAAGACGATGGCGTTCATGACTGGAGGGTGGCAACGTCCTTCAGGCGAGACCAGGCCGGCTGGGTGCGGGCAGGCAGTTCCGGTCAGCGGGGACAGGCGCGCGCTGCAAAGGAGAAACCTCGGGTTACTCGGGTCCGGGACATCACCCGACGCATCGCGGAGGAGGGGAAGGGAACCAACGAGATCGGGGGCGAGAAATTGCCCACCAAGGGAGAGCCGCCAGCTGCAGCTGCTGTAGCCGTCAGGCTACCGAAGGAATACACGTCCCTTGACGCCCCCTCACCTCCCACCCCCCGCAACGGGGCGGGAAAGAAGGGAGATCGAAAAGTTGCCAATATTGAAGAGCGGGCATACGTCGCTCTTCGAGACGCCCCCGCTAAACCCAAGCCCCACGGCTGAGTTCGCACGCCAGAGCATCTCGTGGCTGGTTTAATCGGGGCTAGAGCGAAAAGCGAACCTGGGCGTTGAGCCTCTTCAAACAAGGCTTACTGCTCGGAGAGAGGTGGAAACGCGGCGCGCTTTAATCAAGGCCGCCTCAGCTGAGCTACTGGGCGATCCTAACCTCGGTTTGCGTTTAAGAAATTTCAATGACTCTCTGCGAACTCGCCTCCTTTTTTTTTTTTTTTACCTGGCTATTTCCATCCCTTGCAGCAGCATCACTCTCTTCCACCGAATCGGAGACGAAAACCCAGCATCACCCCGCTAATTTGCCGTCGCGTCCGCGAATGAGAGACGGAAGCTCCGTCCGGAGGGCAGGCTGCTTGGGCAGGAGGGCGTAGCTGATGTGGGTGTCTGGGGGCTCCCCTTCCCGGCCGGTCCCATTCCCCGCCTCCTTTACACCTGTCTGCACGCCCCCTAGCGACAGGACCAATTCTTCAAGCAAACAAGGAGCTTTCGCCAGAGAGAGTTTTCCCAATAATTAGGCTGTTCCTCCCAAACACACACACACACACACACACACACACACACACAGACACGTATGGATAGAAAGGGGGACAAGCTGGAAAGGGGGATAAACAGCTCTCTTTCCCACCAGGATTGCGACTTCTCCAGGTTGTTCAAAAATAGTTTGTCACTCTTTTTTCGGAACGTTTTTGTTGTTGGTTTGTTTCCCAATCTACAGCACAGATTTTTCTGGTGTTTTTTCCAGCCAAGTATTAGATCTGATACAACTTTGATAAGCTTTTGTGTTTGTTTCTTTGCCTGAGAAGCAGACAGGTTTTGCAATGGAGGTGCCCACTTTGCTAATGTAAAGCTGGGGACTTGTTTTGCCTAACGTACATATTTATTTGTTTCCTTCCCCCCTCCCCCCAAAATAATTTACTATTAAACTGGAACAACTGTCTATATTTTATTATTCTTAGCAGCCTCAAGCACTGTTTGTCCAGAAAAGGAGGGAGGCCACTCTAAGAAATGAACAAACGGTTATAAGCACAAATGGTTGGGGAAGCGTTTTTGCTGAAATTTGCTTTTTTTTTTTTTTTTTTTTGCAAGACCATCAACAGACCTAGGATCCAAACTGTCGCTTAAAGGAAAAGAACAGAAACATTGACTCTCCTACTTGTGTGGTGGAGGTTTAGAAAAAACAAAGGCAGTCCTGAGCAAACAAGGATGTGCCTGCACCCCTACACTTGAGAATGTACACGCATTAAATCTCATGTGAATGCATGGGACTTGCGAAGGTGTGGGAGCCTTTCTTTTTTCCCTGGGTGCTTTAAACCACTCGAGGATTCTGCCTATCAAGCAGATACATCTGTTCCAAGCCTAAAATATTCTGCTATGTTGTCGATTTGGATATAAATAAATATGTGTGAATACAGCACTTGAGTGTCATAGTAAAACTCCAGGATTATTATGAATTGTTTTTGAACAACCGGGATTTAAATCAGCTTTTCTTGTCTGTAAATGTGAACACCTACAGAAAGATAGGGCCAACACACGTTTACGATCTGACCTTGTCTACTTTTGAACTTAAGCCGGATCAGACCTTGTTAGTACTTGGATGGGAGACTGAGGGGAAATCCCAGGACTGTAGGCTAATTGAGAAATAAGGGGAAAAAATCACAGGAAAAAAAGGAAGACAACCCACTGTACTGTTCCCAAGAACATTCCATGGACGTCCCTACAAGCTTCTGGAAACAGATCTCACTTTGTGATGGGAAATTCTTCAAACAGGGTCAACCTTTGCAAGTGTAGCAGACAGCAAGACTCACTCAGCTCAATCGGATTTAGTCCCAACTGACTGTTGAATTGTAGCCAAATGTTATTTTAGTTTAGTTTATTTAGAAACCTGCACAGGATACCTTTGGTAAGTTCCCCCAACTCCCCCCCCGCCCCACCTTCACCCTTCACACACGGCAAGTAATTAAACAAATACAAAGTTGGAAATTTTGATGCACCTCGCAGATAGCGGCCATTGGTTCAGGGTCCCTGGATTCATCCAGACCAATCGAGAAGCATGCCCATAAGCATTCACACATGATTTACTAATATGGACAAAAAGCGTCTGATCAAATATCACATACCTCCGAGATCTGAAGACCAGTCTGATAGAGGAAGGTGGGCATCAGAAATAGAAGAGAGACGATCCTGAGTGGAGTATGGTTAGGGGAAGAAACCGGAGGGGGTGGGGTGGAGGAGGGCTCTTCCCAATCAGAAAAAGAAAGGCAGTGATGCTGCCTGTGCCTATGGGTGCTCATTGCTAGAGATAAGGCTAATTACAAGTCTGGGCTTGTTTAACCACGTTTTACTAATAACTATCGTTGGTTTGCTTCACAACGACTTTGATCACCACACACCATTCCACCCTCCAGTTGCACCCTGGTTTAGCCGGTTGGGTAGACTCAGCCAGAGAGATAGCAGGACAGGAAGAGGAACAGAGGCGAAGTCTGCAAAAGATGCGCAGAAAAAGACGCAGACAAACAATCTTGGAAAACTCGTTTCTGAAATGCGTGTGCATTAAGGGTTTTTCCAAGGCTGAAGGGGCCTTCCTTGAGAGGCGAGATAAGTTTATCAACTTGTCCAGCTCTCATCCATGACAAGAAAACGAAGCATCGCCCAAGCAGAAAGCACATTCAGATTCACATCTACGCGTTTCTGGGTGGGGGAAGGCGGAGAGATGAAAGTAGAGTCCCGGGTGGCGTCGTCGGCCTTATTCTGCTTCTTCTCGCCCTCCCCACTGCTGCGTTCCCCCCTTTATTCCAGCCCAATCTTTAATTTTGCTACCGGTTTGCCTTCGCTTCGTCAGAACCCACACAGGGAGCTTTTCGCGGCCGGAGCTCCCTTTGGCCTCTCTGCTAAGCAAAGCCACTGAAGGGATCCCGCTCCAACAGCGCCCCACCCTCGCGCCATCCCCATCCCAAAGAAACTAAGCCTTCGCCACCTCCAGGAGTCGCGCCGCCTTCGCCTCACCCTCCACTGCAAAAAAACGTTGAAGTAGCCACTGTCAATATTGTTGTTCAGACTCCTTTCGGATTTGTCCGCAAGAAAAACACGCTATGGACGCGCGACGGTCTGGCAGGCCGCTCTGCGGGTCGGCGGGGGACTGGCCTCCAAGGCAATGGGACAAACGCTACTGGACCTAAAGAAGACAGGAACCTGCCGGGCGCTCTGGGCCCAGGCAACAGACAACTCTCGCGCCCCCCACAGTCCCCTCCGGTCCTCCGCCCTCACCAGGTGTCTGCCGGCCAGCCCTCAGGACTTTTCCCAAGAGCGAATCTGGCACTGTCATATTTCAAGCATCATACAGGTCTTCCTCTGTGGGGATGCGACCTTTTACAAAAAAGATAAAAGAAAGAAAAGCCTCCGGGCCCCATCAAATTACCCCGTTAGGATGGCCTCAGCTGAACCAGCGGTACTTTTCCCAAAGTTAAACGGTAGCATCTTGGGTTGCCTCTGAGGGCGTCCAAAGAACCTTCCTTCACTCCTCTGAAGCCGCCACCACTCGAAGGCCTCGGTCTGGTTCATGTTCGCCGGACTCTTCTGTTCCCGACAAAGGCGTTCCCACGCGTGCTCCAGGTGAACCAGGGTGGTCCCCTTCCGGCAGAACCAAAAGAAGTTAGAAACAAGCCCGTTGGGGCGATAATAATCCTATTGCAATTTGTAACCTGTGAATCAGAGCCACTGCCGAAACATTTAGTTTCCACTAATTAAGTCGAAACATGTGTATTTCAAAATCTAGAGCACGTGAATTTCAAATATCCTGAGAACATACAGTTTGCGAAAGTCGCATCAATCGTGTCTAGATATCTCAAGCTCCTTGTTTAAGGCACAATACAGAGCGGCGCTTAAAAGACACGGGTCATTGGTGGGAGTGGTGGGAGAACAGTACGCAGGAAAAGGCGACGACTGCTTCCCGCAGCGGGACCCAGTTTCCGCAAAGGTCGCCGCAAATACCACTAGCCCGCTCCTCGCAAGCGCTCCTCCGCCGAGGCCCCATCAACTTTCGCAGAAATGCGGATGCGCACTCTAGAGAACAGACGGCGCCTAACGGAGGATGCTGCGCCGACTCCCTCGGATGATTCTCCTGCGGATCTGCGCGTCCCAAACTCGCCTAATACCGGTAGAGGTGCGGCAGTTCCGCTCAGAAACGGGACAAGGCGCAGTTCACTTGTGCCATTAGTGATGGTGAGTTTACGAGATCAAGCGCCGGCCTGCCCCCAGTCAGCAAACAGAAAGACAAAAATAAAAGCACCCGCTTCCCTTAGGAAGCCGAGCAGGATCTTTTGCGCGCCTTCTCCCCACAGCCTCTGGTTGCTATTACTATGAATCTTATTAACTTGGGGTGTGGGGAGTGGTGGGGGTGATGGGGGATGCTTCTGGCAGGGAAGGCGTTCGGGCTGTATTCTCAGTAATATTGTTTTTAGGCAGAGAAGCCGCTCAACCCCTTGAAGGACGCGGCTCGTTTCAAACGGGAAAGAACAGGGAGAGAAGTCGCGCGCACTAAGCGAGCGGGACCGCTGAGCAGCAGCGAAACCGAGCGCTTACGAAGACCAGGTCGCGCCCGGACGTGGTGGACACGGCCGGCGGACTCACTAGCTCTCCCTTTGGACTGCAAAACCTTAGCGACCTTTCACCTGTAGTCCCACCGCCCTGCCAGGATTCCCACTTTCTTTCCTCCGTAGGAATCGCAAGAGACCAGCTGCGGACAGAGCCTTTATCTCTTGCAAAAAGGAAGGCGGAGGAAAACCGGGACCGGGAGAGCTTGCTGGTACAAAAGGACCACTCTGTGCCCGAAGGTGAGGTTGAGATAGGTCTGCGGTGACGGGCCCCTCCCCCCCCCGTTGCCTTGGTTCAGGTCAAGCTCAGCGCGCGCGCGCGCGCGTCCTCTCCTACTCCCGGGGATGCCTCCAGCGGTCAGTACCTGGCGGCTGTTGGGAGTTGCGATGGCTGCGGAGCCGGGATTCGGTCTGACTGCGTGCTTGTTCGTTGGTTTGCTTGGCTCCGCTCTTCCCTGCTCCCATCCCAGCTCCCGCCACACGCTTTCGGCACGCACACCGCTCGCGAGAGTTCTCGCCCCGCGGCGGCAGCTGCTCGTCTTTATTGTCCAGACCGGAGCGCCCTAGCCCGGGAACATGAATAGCTGCGTCTTCTCATGTTTCCCCTTTGGCTAGCTCAGTCTGCGAACATCGTACCATTGTCGTATCCAGCTTCCGGGGCCGCGGCGGTCTGCGAAGCCCGCGGCGGTGTCTGTCAAAAGGACAGGGAGGGACCCAGGCGAGGTGGAGAGCGCGGCGGGACCCTGGACCGGCCGATCCTTTCACGGAGGAGGATCGCGGTTGTTGCATGTCTTTCAGGCGACTCCTGTCTTGTCCAAGGCGGGCAAAGGACGAAAA